TTGACATTCTGTGAATGTACCCTGTTACTAATGGTAGGTACGTTGAGTTGATTGCAACTCATAGCAACCCCATGTGCAACAGAATGAAACACTGCCTGGTCCTGCACCATCCTCACAATTTTTGCTGTGCTTGAACCTGTTGTTATAGCCATGTGTCTGTCTGTCTTGCTGAGGGTCTTCCTTTTTTTCACGACCCTCTACCAAGCATGATGTCCTTCTCCAGGGACTGGTCCCTCCTGATAACATGTCCAAAATACATGAGATAAAGTCTCACTCTCCTCACTTCTGAGGAGCATTCTGGCTGTACTTCTTCCAAAACAGTTTGTTCATTCTTCTGGCAGTCCATGATATATTCAAAATTCTTTGCCAACACTATAATTCAAAGGCATCAATTCTTCTTTGGTCTTCTTTATTCATTGTTGAGCTTTTGCATACATAGGGGGCTATTGAAAATACCATGGCTTAAGTCAGGCACAACTTAGTCTTCAAGGTGACATCTTTGCTTTTTAATACTTTAAAGAAGCCTTTGCAGCAGATCGTCCAGTGCAATGCATTGTTTGATATCATGGCTGCTGATTCCGTGGGTGTTGATTGTGGATCCAAGTGAAATGAAATCCTTGACAACTTCAATATTTTCTCCATTTTTCATGATGTTGCTTATTGGCCGTGTTGTGAGGATTTTTGTTTTCTTTATATTGAGTTGTAATCTATACTGAATGTCTTTGATCTTCATCAGTAAGTGCTTCAAGTCCTCTTCACTTTCAGCAAGTAAGGTTGTGTCATCTGCATATTGCATGTTGTTAATGATTCGTCTTCCAATCTTGCTGCAGCATTCTTCTTCACGTAGTCCAACTTCCTGGATTATTTGTTCACCATGCAGACTGAATAAGTATGATGAAAGGATACAACCCTGACAGATTTTAAACCATGCAGTATCCCCTTGTTCTGTTTGAACAACTGCCTCTTGGTCTATGTACAGGTTCCACATGAGCACATTAAATGTTCTAGAATTGCCTTTCTTCATGATGTTATCTGTCTTTGCACGTTTCAGAGTGTACCATAGTTGGCTGAAATTTTATGGGACAACATCATAAAATCTTTTTTTTTTTTTAATTGTGATTGGGATGAAAGTTTACGGAGCAAATTGGTTTTCCATTCAACAGTTCATACAAATTTTGTTTTGTGAAATTGATTGCAATCTCCACAATGTAACAGCACTCTTCCCACTTTCTCTCTGTTTACCATTTCCCTTTGTCCTTCTTTCCAATCCCTTCCTGGCTTCTTAGCTTTATCCCTGGGCAAATCCTGTCCTTTTGAGCTCCTATATCAGATTGTTCTGATGAGTGTGTACTTCCCTGGTGGTAGTGTTCACCTTATTAGCCTGTCTATCCATTGACTGAAAGTTGAGACATAGGGGTGAATTCAGTTTCAGGCTTGAAGGGTGTCTAGGGCCACAGTCTTGGAGTTTCTACCAGTGTATATCAGACCAGTAAGCCTGGTCTTTTTTTAATTTACTTTGAGTTTTGTTCCACATGTTTCTCCCACTCTATCCAGGACCGCCTATTGTGATCCCTTTCAGAGTGGTCAGCAGTGGTAAACGTTCACCATCTAGTTCTGGTCTCAGGGTTGTGGAGACTGGTTCACATGATCCATTGTTTCCTTGTGTCTTTGATTTTCTTCACTCTTCTTTGCTGCAGATGGTGAGAGACCAATAGTTGCAGCTTAGATGGTCTCTCATAAGCTTTTAAGATCTCAGTCACTACTCATCAAAGTAGGATGTAGAGCATTGTCTTTATGTACTATGTTAAGCCAATTGGACTTAGTGTCCCTCAAGACTATGATCCTGAGCCCTCATGCCTAACAACTCATTCCCTCAAGGTATTTGGTTATGGCTAAGAAGTTTTCATAACTTTGCTCCCTGTATACTCTACTATATTCCTGTAGATATTTGCAGCACATATAAACACTTATGTAGAAATATCCTATGTAAAACTATATCTATTCGTGGTTATAGTCCCATTCACCTTCCCACACCTATTCAGCTTGGGTGTCTATATATGTACCCACTCAGATTATTATTACTGTCATTGCAGGATTTTGTATGTAATGGTATTTACCTTTGTTGCCTTTAACTCTTGTGCTCTATCCAGTGTCTTCTTCTTCCTTGATCATTTTGTACTGACCTCTCCATTATTGCCTTTCTCTTCCCCCAAGTTAATATGTATCTACCTTCTAACCGTTGATTTACCCTCTCTTCCCCTCCCACCCCGGTAACCTTCAAAGAATGATTCTTTCTATGTGTAAACATTTTGTTATCTTTTTATAGTAGTGGTCTCATACAATATTTGTCCTTTTGTGAATGACTAATTTTACTCAGCATCATTTCCTCTAGGTTCATCCATATTATGAGGTGTTTCCCAGATTCACTGTTATTCTTTAGCATTGGGTAGTATTCCATTGTGCCTATGTATCATTGTCTGTTTGTTCATTCATCTGTTGATGGGCAATTAGGTTGTTTCTATCTTTTTGCTATTGTGAATAATACTGCAGTAAACATGGCTGTGCATGGCTCTTTTTTCTCTAGTGTATACATCTAGTAGTGGGATTGCTGGATCAGACTGTATTTCTATTTCCAACTTTTTAAAGAAGCTCCATACCATTTTCCACAGTGATTTTACTGTTACAGTTTCACCAACAGTGTGTGAGGGTTCCACATCTTCACTAGCATTTGCTATTTTCCGTCTTTTTTGAATTTTGCTCTTAATACTGGGGTGAGATGATATCTCATTGTTGTTTTGATTTGCTTCTCTCAGGTGGCGTAGTGCTTAAGGCATTTGACTGCTAACCAGAAAGCTGGTGGTTCAAACCCACCAGCCACTCCTTGGAGGGAAGATTGGGCAATCTACTTCCACAGAAATAGCACCTTGGAAACCCAAAGAGGGGTCGCTATGAGTCAGATCCGACTCGATGGCAGTGAGT